CCAGAGGCCACACGAGCAGACCCAGCACCCCCAGGCTCCGCACCCCCAGGCTCCGTACCCCCAGGCTCAGCACCCCCAGGCTCCGCACCCCCAGGCTCAGCACCCCCAGACTCAGCACCCCCAGACTCAGCACCCCCAGTCTCAGCACCCCCAGGCTCCGCACCCCCAGACCCGGCATACGCGGGCTCAGCACCCCTAGCAGCACCAGCGTCAACAGCTACCTCGACAGGCTCGACTGCGTCTACCTGGGACACACCTGACGGGGCAGGACCTTGAGGGGGGAGAGGGTCTACCGGGGGAGGACCTGGCGCAAGGAAGAGCGGCGGCGGGGGGAGGGGCGCAGTGCGGTAGGGGAAGAGACGGTAGTAAGGCACCGACTCGTCAAAGGTGACGTCCTGGGAGGACAGAACACGGCGCGACGTGGGGTGGTAAAACTGCCAACCAGGCGCGTCAGGGGGGAAGCTTAGGAAGATGCAGGGAACAGCACGGGGGGACAGCTTGTCCGCAGACAAGTCGCGGACAAACGCCCGAGATCCCCAGACCCGAAACGCAGACGCATCGCCAACCTTCCCCGTCCACCGCAAGGTGGGGGAGGTCTCTGGCAAGGAGACCCGGGGCTGAAGGTTGAGCTGATGCGCTGCGTACTGAACCGCAAACGGCCACAGAAAATGGGGAGCAGCTGCATGGATCATGGACGTACGAGCGACGTCCATGACCATGCCAATGCGGCGCTCAGCAATCCCATTTTCCTGTGAAGAAGCCGGAAGCGTGAAGGTCTGGCAGATGCCCTGTGCACGACAGAAGGCTCCCAGACGGGCAGAGGAAAACTCCCCGCCTCTGTCAGAGTGCAGACGCAGAACAGGAAAGTCCGAGCCGAAACTCTCTCTGAGCTGGAGACGAGCTGCGCGGATCCAGTCGATCAACACCTCAGTGACGTCACCCTTGCTGCGCAAGGGGAACACCGTGGTGTAACGCGAGTAGTCGTCAACCACCAACAGGAAGTAACGCTCGTGACCCTGGCCACGGACGCGGGCGGGGCCCCACACGTCCATGTGAAGAGTCTGCAGCGGAGCCTCTGTCGGAGGAAACTCGGAGGAGTAAGGGGCGGCGCGCTGCCGCCCCTCGACGCAGGGAACGCAGGTAGGGGCAGGCCCCGGAGGGAGGGGAGGGAGGGACCGAGGGAGACCAGAGACAAGGACACGGGAGGCCATGCCTCGGAGACGAGGCAGGGAGGGGTGACCAAGGCGGTGGTGCCAAAGGAGAGTCTGGTGGGATAGGAGACGACACGAACAGAGAGCAGACTCAGGACCAGACCTGGACACTGCAGCAAACACCTGACTCGACGCAGCTACCTGACCAGACTCAGCAACCGGAGGAGACTCAGTAGTCAGTGTGTACAGGCTCGACCCCGGCCGACGGGTAAACATGGCCAAGTGTCGGCCCGTCCGAGCACAAGTACAGTGGGTCACCCGCTGACTCGCAGGAGTGAAATGGTCAACCCCCTGATCCTGTAGATCAGCACCACTCACCAAGTTCGTAGAGAACGAGGGGAGGTAGAGACCTGACAGGGTGCCAGAGGGGGTTGCCGGACATGGTAAGACAGTGGAGAAGCTAGCAAGGACAGGACCCCCAGAGGGGTCCGCCAGGGAGACCGCAACCGGCCGACTGAGCGGCGTAAGCGTGGTGCGGTCTCGAAAGAAGGAGCGGGAAGCACCCGAGTCAAGGGTGAAGGTGTGTAAGGCCTGAGCCGACGTGGTACCTGAGAGAGCAGACTCACCAGCACCTGAGGCAGCAGACGCACTAGCACCTAGAGCAGCAGCCTCACCAGCACGTAGAGCAGCAGCCTCAATGCCCGGGTCAGGCGGAACACACAGGTAACAGTCACCCTCGTCACTAGTAGACACAGCATACATGGCAGCAAGAATAGCATCATAGTCAAGATCAAAGATAGCAACCCCCGCCCTAGACAGCTCTCCCCAGCGAGGGATCTCAGTGGCGTCAGGGAACTGGTGACGCCAAGCATCCGTCAGGCGGCCGAAGCAGCGCTGGGTGGAGTGCGGGCCCCCGCACTGCTCACCAGCGCGGTCGCCGGTACGGAGGACGTAGGTACAGGGACCAGTACCCCCACCTCGCTGACGCCCAGCGTACCACTCACAAAGCTGCTGGGGGGACGGGGTCTCACGAGTGCGCTGCTGCTGCTGGCGCTGACCACCACCTAAGCCGCCCCGCTGCGCAGAGCCACCCCGACTAGCTCCACCTCCTCCGCCACCACCTCCGCCACCGCTGCCACCGCCTCCTCCTCCGCTCCCACCGCCACCGTCGCCGCCGCCTCCGCCGCCACCGCCGCCACCGAAGCCCCCACCCCCGCCACCACTCCCACCACCACCCCCACTCCCTCCGCCTCCTCCACCGCCACCTCCACCGCCCCCGCCAGCCCCTCCAGCGCCCTTGCCCCCCTTGCCCTTGCTGGTGCGGCGTCGCCCACTAGGGGCAGACGCAGCGCCGACCGACTCGGTGCCAACGAAGTCGACGGCAGCAGCAGAGGCAACAGAGGGCAAAAGGGGGGAGGGGGAGCACCCCTCAAAGACAGGGGCACGCGGGTCACCTCTAGAGGCTCCTACAGCGACTATACTCTTTTCAGCTGCCAGGAGGCGCTCCTCTAGGAGGTCAACGGTGAGTGTGGTGGGGCAAACAGAGAGGAAGTGGTCCCTGACCGAGCGAAGGGAGTCAGGGAGCCGGGTGACTATGTAGTAGAGGGTGATGTACATGGGGGGGGGGTTCTTGGCGCAGAACTTAGCAGGAAGCGCAGCGCGGTAGCGGGTGTCACTAGTGCGAAGGTGCGTAACGAGGTCAGCGACAGTGGGAAGTGCGGCGAGGTCAGGAAACAGGTTTGGCAGTATGAGGCGGCTAAGAGCAGCAGTGGCAGGGGAAGAGTAGCGTGCAACTACAGCGTCGTACAAGGTCTTAGCACTCTTGTACTGACTAAAGTGCGCACGCTCAGTGGTCGGTAAGTGGCGACGCACAGCAAGACGGGCAGCAGCATCGCGGGTGGCCCACTATGAGCGAACAGTGCTGTCAGCATCAGCAGGCGGGGCAGGAGAGGCACCAGAGGTGAGATCGAACAGGGAGAGTCCGTCTGCCCTATCGCACTGTAGGAAAAGCTGTAGGTCATCTACCCAGACCTCGAAGTCAACAGCACGACCCTCAGCATCAAAGGTAAGGACACTGGGGGTAGCCATGACAGCAGTGGTCTAGTAGGGGGGTGCTCTCACCAGTCCGGGTGGGCAGGGCCGGGGCGCGCCGGAAGGAACAGGGCGGCAACCGCGGAAGTAGCGGCTCGGCAGTGGCTCGGTAGCGGCGGCTCGACGGCGGCCTCGGCGGCTCGGCTGCTGGGCGGCTCGGCGGCTCGGCTGCTGGGCGGCTCGGTGGCTCGGATGCTGGGCGGCTCGGCGGCTCGGCGGTTCGGCGGCTCGGCTGCTGGGCGGCTCGGCGGCTCGGCTGCTGGGCGGCTCGGCTGCTCGGTAGGGGCGGCGACGGGGCCGGCAGGGGCGTCGACGGGGCCGCGTAGGGGCGGCGACGAGGCCGCTAGGGGCGGCGACGGGGCCGGTAGGGGCGGCGACGGGGCCGCGAGTGGCGGCGACGGGGCCGCGAGGGGCGGCGACGGGGCCGCGAGGGGCGGCGACGGGGCCGCTAGGGGCGGCGACGGGGCCGCTAGGGGCGGCGACGGGGCCGCGTAGGGGCGGCGACGGGGCCGCGTAGGGGCGGCGACGGGGCCGCTAGGGGCGGCGACGGGGCCGCTAGGGGCGGCGACGGGGCCGTGTAGGGGTGGCGACGGGGCCGCGTAGGGGCGGCGACGGGGCCGCTAGGGGCGGCGACTGGACCGCGTAGGGGCAGCGACGGGGCCGCGTAGGGGCGGCGACGGTGCCGCTAGTGGCGGCGACGGGGCCGCGTAGGGGCGGCGACGGGGCCGGTAGGGGCGGCGACGGGGCCGCTAGGGGCGGCGACAGGGCCGCGTAGGGGCCGTGAGGGTCCTGGAAGGGCGGCGACGGGGCCGCTAGGGGCGGCGACGGGGCCGCTAAGGGTGGCGCGAGGGGCCGTGAGAGGGGCCTCTAGGAGGGCTCGACAGAAGGGCGGCCCACGGGGCGCGCCTCGGGCAGGAGCGACTGGCGCTCCGGTCAGAAAAAAAAAAATTCAGTGGTGGGCCCAAGGAAGTGTTCCCACTAGGGAACCTGCTCTATACCATGTGAAGAAATGAGGAAATGAATGAACTAGCAAGCAGGTGGGTACAAGTAGGAAAACCTAGAAGTGTTGTACCCCATATTGTCTACCCCACTACAGCCTACACAGACTATAGCATATGAGTTTGACAGCGCCATATGCCAATTATAAGCGCCTGGCGCTTATCCTAGGGTGGCGCTTATATCCGGGGGGTGACTGTAATGGACTGTGGTTGTCGCGCGACGGGCCCGGGACTGAGGTTTGGGGAAATGTCGAAGCGGAGGCCCGGAGCGCGGGTAACCCGCCTAGCCGTGAGGTCGGGGTGCGACGTGCGAAGGTGGCGGGAGGATTGTCGATGCGAGGATTGGTGGTAACGGTGCTGACTGTGGTGCTACAGTGGTGTACGCGCTGAGCGGGGACGCTAAGGAAAAAGAATTTTCCTTATACTAGTAATGCGTAATTGTCTGCAAACACCAAGAATAGTTACCAGGCATTTGAGTTTCGCTATCACCGCACCAGTGTATGCAGGAATTTGGGTTTTTCTGCAGTCAGAAAATATCATAGCTTTCACCTTCTAGCTTCCAGTCCTAAATTTTGCAAAGATGTACCTTGTATCATCACTGAACAATATACAGTAGGGTATAACAATTTAGTACAAGGCTAGTAGCGCTTTTTAGCGCACATGCCATAAGTGCCCGGGCATAGCCAAAAGCCATTTGTAGAGAATATGTAGCCCACAAGGCTGGAACTGGGATGAGTATTTCTGGGGCTTGTGGTGAGACTCAGCGGAGCAGTCGTCTGAGCGGCCATGTGGCCACATGCTTCAGCCGACTCAGCTCCGCCATCCCAGCCAGACTCAGCTTCGCCTGCTGCCCTAGAGTGTGCGGAGGGTTGTGCTCCAGGGACTGCTTAACGCGAGACGTTACGTAGGGAGGTGAACCGCCCAACTTGCGGTTCATGCTGATAGAAGATGAACCCGACATGTCATATAGATCGTGCGACGACGACGATGTGCTATTGTTACTCCCGTTCCACCGTTGGCCAACCAGGTCGTGCCACGTCAGTCCAGTAAGATTTTGCGCGCGGGGTGTCGGATCCGTGAGGATTCGTCTCGCCTGCTCAGTTGACAGCACGCCTGCACGGGAAAGACAATGGGGGAGACCATGTAAGGTGCGTTACAATCGCCGCCCTCGTCCCGACGGACGCTAAGCCTCCAGCGGTTCTGTGGAAGGGATTCCTGCTCCGCCATTATGAACGATAACGGAGAATGGCGGACGTACCTTGGACTATGGTAAGCACGAGGAAGAGCACGAGCAGCAGGATAATCAGCGGCATCATCACCGCAGCCTCCCCGCTCGCCTTCCGCCGCCCGCCCATGAGACGGCTCAACCGACCAGCGCCTCCTGCGGACGCCTTTCTTGACTCGCCACCTCGCAAGGCTCTGCTTGCCGCCTTGCTGCCGTGCCGCGGAGGACGAGGGGGCTTGGCGGAAAACAAATGGGGCACACCAGGGGCAGCGAGGGGCGAGGGGTATGCGTTGCGAGGAATGTCGGCACCGCCACGGGAAGCGGCTGTGGGACTGTGATGCGTGGGACTAGACGAGGGTTCCTTGGTCGCGCTGGGTGCCCCATTCTGCGGGTCGCACCGTGCGTGCTGCCCCTGAGAGTAGGGTGAAGCCATCGCGTTGTACAAGTGGTGCGATGCCGAGGTGCGATCGGAACTGCAGCGTAGGCGGTTGGAGGTAGGACTGGGGGGGGCGGCCTTTCTACGCTCTCGGGTGGGGCTGATGCTCCGCTGCGCCGGCTGCTTCAGCACCTCCGCTTCCCCCGGCTGCTGCCCCCCGCACCAGCTGACGCCCAGAAGGGCCGGCAGCTGTTCGTCCTCCGGGTACCCGGAAGCTCCGCCGTCTACTCTGTCATCCACGCCCGCTGCTGCCACGAGCGGCGCCTCCTTGAGCGCAGATGTGGCTGCGACGTAGGTGATATCATCGGGAGTAAGTTCCCCGCGCGCGGAGCGGGGACTGGGCGGAAAGCTCCATGCTTGGAAGAGGTGCGGATGGATGGCGGCGCTGGTGGTGGAGAGCAGGATGGACGCCACGGACGACGATATGTCGTGCGACAGCGCCGCGAATGTCGCTAGCGGAGCCGTGCCAGACGCCAAGTTGTGAGACTGCAAGTCACACGGCGCAACCTTAGTGGAGCTTGTTAGAATCGGTCCGACCTGGTATGGATCCATGCTGTGAAGTCCCGCTGCACGCGAGGCACTTTATGCAAGCATTAGGTATCAAAGTGCTTGGACTGGTCTTGGAAGACCTGTGTGTTGAAGCTGTGGCTCAAAAGTCCTGACACACTACTGTACTGTGCGTGATTGTGTGACTCAGCTAATGGGGAGGTTTTGAAGAAGATATGTGTGCTACAGAACAGTGGGAGGGGGACTGCACTGCATGCGTGACCTCAACAACAGCACACCCTGGCATGCTCGACTCACCGCCATCACCACAATAACAGTGACCACCACATGACCAGATGCGCCTCGGTTATTTCCACGAATGCCTGCCCACACCAGACCACCTGTGAAGGCGCCCCGGATGATGGAACAATTCCATCCAGTGGGAAGGCAATCTTGCATCCATCTCCCCACATGGTTTCCTGATTTACAACAGCGACTCGAACCTTGCCCCCAGGTGCGGGGATTGCATGACGGAAAAGTAGAAAGTCCGAACCCCACCTGGCTCAGGGGTCGGCGGCATGCCAAGTTCTGTGGTGCAATGTTGCTGAGTGGGCAGCGTAGTGAAGATCAGCAGATTTACTGTGCTAGCATGCGCTCCGGTTTGTTCAGGTGCGCTCTCTCCTGAAAAACTGTGGAACCGTTGGTATCAACCACGGTTATAAGGTCACGTCACATTACTGATGTGTAGTTTAGCAAAATATATTACATAAACATCCTTTCAGTTATTCTTCCGTGTAAATTCTCGTCTGTACATGGTAGCTCATAAACCATATATTTGTTAAATGTACCTGAACGCACCATCCAACTCAAATTTGGAAAGGAAATTGTCAGAATAGCAAAACCGGAACCATTGGACTAGCAGGATATATCAACATTATGAGTAATCATTCATGTACGATACATGAGCAGATCTTATCGGGTACGAAGACGAGGAGTCAGAAGAACCGAAGCGACTGTCAAACTATAATGCTACTTATGTTGTGTAGGCTGTAGTGGGGTAGCCTATATGGGGTACAACCCAATTAGGGTTATAATTGTACTTAGTTTGATGTCAATGCAATCATTCCTGCTCATTAGTTTCGGACATGGTATCATAGCAGTAGGTCCGTAGGACCGTTTTTTTCGGGCCCACCGTTACATAGTGACCGACTGCGGTTACCGCGTTACCCCACGCCCTACACTGCGCTGCGCCGTCAGCGCGCCCCTTACCCTGCCCTGCCTTGCGTCGCGCTCCCCCGCGTACGCCCTGCTCAACCCCGCGTCGCGCTGCCACGCGTACGCCCTGCTTTGCCCCGCGTCGCGCTACCCCGCGCACGCCCTGCCCTGCCCCGCGTCGCGCTGCCCTGCGCACGCCCTAACCTGCCCCGCGTCGCGCTGCCCCGCGCACGCCTTGCCCTGCCCCGCGTCATGCTGAAGCTCGCGCTTTGCTGCCCTGCGCGTCGCGCCCTGCTGCAGCCCGCACGAAGCGCCCTGCTGCAGCCCGCACGAAGCGCCCTGCTGCCTTGCGTGTCGCGCCCTGCTTCCTTGCGCCTCGCGCCCTGCTGCCTTGCGCGTCGCGCCCTACGGCTGCCCTGCCCGTCACGCCCTGCTGCCGTTCGCGTCGCGCCCTACGGCAGCCCACGTGTCGCGCTCTGCTGCCCTGCGCATCGCGCCCTGTTGCAGCCAGCGCGTCGCGCCCTGCTGCCCCGCACGTCGCGCCCTGCTGCAGCCCGCGCGTCGCGCCCTGCTGCCCCACGCGTCGCGCCCTGCTGCCCCCCGCGCGTCGCACCCTGCTGCAGCTCGCGCGTCACGCCCTGCTGCCCCGCGCGTCGCGCCCTGCTGCAGCCCGCGCGCCACGCCCTGCTGCCCGCGCGTCGCGCCCTGCTGCATCTCGCACATCGCGCCCTGCTTCCCTGCACAGCGCGCACCCTGCTGCCCTACACAGCACGCGCCCTGCTGCCCGCGCCGCCCACGTCGAGTCGCACCGCCCAGCCCGAGCTGCCCTGCCCAACCCGATCCACCCTGCTGCTCGTGATACTGCTGCTGCTAGTGGAGGTGCTACTAGGAGTGCTGGATATCCTGCAGCCTAGCCTCACCGAGCCGCTCTGCTGCTCTTACTGCTGCCGCTGCTACTCGTGCTATTGCCTTCCCTCCGTACTGTCCTACTGGTCGCACGCCTCCTTACTTGGCGCGCTGTGACTTCTCTTCGTGGTAGCGGTCGAAGCGGTGACGGTGGTGGTGACAGCAGCTGGAGTGGTGGCGGTGGTCGTAGTGGCAGTCGCGGTGGAGCTGTTTGGTGCGGAGTTTCCGGCGGTGACCAGATGCAGCTGCTGCGGCGTCCGCGCGAGACCCTTACGCCCCAGCAGCTTCGTGAGTGGTATGCCAGTAGGTGTGGTGGCAGCGGCCGTAGTAGCAGTCGTGGTGGAGCTGTTCAATGCGGAGTTTCTGGCGGTGGCCAGATGCAGCTGCAGCGGCGTCCGCGCGAGGCTTTTACGCCCCAGCAGCTTCGTGAGTGGTACGCTCAGAGTGGGGGGACTTGGAGTACTGATTGCTGTCCGTACGTCATTCGCACAGGTGCTCGTGCTGGTGGCACTGGAGCTGCCAGAGCTGGTGGTGCTGCTAGTGCTGGAGGTGCTGGAGGTAGTGGAGTTTCTGGAGCTACTGGAGCTGGTGGTGGTGGTGGTGCTGCTCGAGGTGCTGGAGCTGCTAGTCCCGGAGGTGCTGGTATCGGAGGTACTGGAGCTGCTGGAGCTGGTGGTGGTGCTGCTGTTGCTGGAGGTGCTAGAGCTACTGGTCCTGGAGGTGCTAGTCCTGGAGGCACTAGTGCTGCCGGAGCTGGTGGTGCTACTGCTACTGGAGGTACTAGAGGTGTTGGAGTTGCTGGTCCCGGAGGTGCTCGTACTGGAGGTACTGGAGCTACCGGAGCTGGTGGTACTGTCGGTACTAGTGGTGCTGGTGGAGCTGGCACTGCTAGTCCTGGAGGTGCTCGTCCTGGAGGTTCTGGAGGTCCTCTCTCGCCGCAGCAGCTACGCGAGTGGTACACTCAGCATTGCCGCCTTCGGAGTGGCGCTGCTGGGGCTCGAGGCGCTACGGCTGGAGGCGCGGGAGCTGGAGGTACTGGAGCGGCCAGAGCTGGTGGTGCTGTGGACTCTGGAGCTGGAGGCCTTGGAGCAGTAGGCGCTGGAGCTGGTGACCCGGGAGTTGGAGGTGCTGGAGCTGGAGTTTCTGGAGCTGTTGGAGACCCTGGAGCTGTTGGTACTAGTACTGGATGTGCTGGTGCTGGAGGAGCTGGTACTGGTGGTGCTGCACCGCCGCGTCTGTTCTTCGCTCCGCCGTCACCGTCGTCTCTGCCGCCGCCTGGCATGGTGGTTTGCCAGGTTCTTAGTCTCCCGTCTTCTACTGGTCTCCCGTTACAGCCAGGCTCCCCATTGCCTGCTCCCTCTCCTTACACTGAGCAGACAGAAGGTCTTACTGAGTGTCGTGAGCCTGCATCTCGTCCTGCCTCGCCTGTTCGCGCTGGTCGCACTGGTCGTCGTGTTCCTCGTGAGCGTCCTCCTCTTGTCCCCGGCACGCACACTATGGCACTTCGTCCTTCCTATGCTCCACAGCGTGTTCCTCTGCCGTCTCCTCCTACGTCCTCTCTTCCGCACGTTCAGGACCCTGAGTGTGACCTGGTTCGTACTGCCAGTCCTACTGTTACGTCTCTCTTAGCCACTGTTGTCACTGACCCTTCGTTTGAGTCTGCCGCTGCGTCTGCCTTAGTCGCTGAGCTTGTTGACTTTGCTGCTGCTTGTCGTCTCGACTACGCTGCTAGTCTTGTTGCTGAGTCTGAGTCTGTCTGTCCTCCATCCGTCGGGGGTGAGTGTGTTCTTGGCACGGACGTCCTTGAGGACACGCAGGAGGACTTTGAGTGTCTTGTAGCCGCTGCACCTCATCTCGTGGCCATGCTGCTTGCCCCTGAGGGAGACCCGGATGCACTAGACATCCCGACCCCGTGCTCTTACGCTAAGGCGATCGCGGGTGAGGACTCCTCTCAGTGGCAGATAGCCATGGACGCAGAGATGGCATCCTGGAAGTCCACAGGCACCTACGTCGACGCAGTTCCCCCTCCTGGGGCGAACGTAGTCAATGGCATGTGGATTTTCAGGGTGAAGTGGCCGCCGGGTTCTCCGCCTGTCTTCAAGGCTCGTTACGTTGCACGAGGCTTTAGTCAGGGACAGGGAGTTGACTTCTTCCAGACCTTCTCCCCTACCTCGAAGATGACCACTCTTCGGGTGCTGCTGCACGTTGCCGCTCAGCGTGACTACGAGCTTCATTCTCTTGACTTCAGCACAGCTTTCCTACACGGCAGCTTGCACGAGGAGATCTCGCTGCGCCGTCCACCTAGCATCACTGGGTCGTTTCCTGCAGGTACCCAGTGGAGCCTCCGACGGCCAGTCTACGGCCTCCGCCAGGCGCCTTGTGAGTGGCACGACACATTGAGGACGACACTTCGGCACTTGGGTTTGCTCCTTCGACTGTAGACCTGTCGCTGTTTCTGCGCACCAACACTTCGCTGCCGCCATTCTACATCCTCGTGTACGTCGACGACTTGATTTTTGCCACTGCCGACACTGAGGCACTGACCCTTGTGAAGTTGGATCTACAGAAGAGACACACGTGCACTGACCTGGGTGAGCTGCGCAGCTATCTTGGCTTGCAGATCACCTGGGACAGAGCACGACGCACCATCACCTTGACTCAGTCACACATGGTGCAGCAGGTCCTTGAGCGCTTCGACTTCACTTGGTCCTCGCCACAGTCCACTCCTCTGGCTACCGATCACTCGCTCTCAGCTCCACCTTCGGACGAGTCCGTAGAGCCGTGTGGCCCGTACCCAGAGCTGGTGGGCTGCCTCATGTACCTGATGACTTGCACTCGTCCTGACCTTGCGTACCCTCTTGGCCTTCTGGCACGCTACGTGGCTCCTGGTAGGCACCGAAAGGTGCACTGGGATGCTGCGAAGAGGGTATTGCGTTACTTGTGCA